ATAGAATAATTTAGTCTTTATTATTTTATGTCATTATTCCATTAAAGTCCAGAGCTCCTGTTTTTTCTCCCACATGACCAACACGTTCTCACTGCGACCTCGCCACGTATCCACGTTTTGGTCATGGACTCTCCAAGTCCTGTTACAATGTGCAGGGTACACTGATTTCTGCACGTCAGCTTGATTATCATTAGACGATCGTCACCTCCTGCTCAGAATAAAACCTCTGTATGTCCTTATTTTTGTGAGTGATAGTTCTTATTTATTCATAGTTAACACTGTGACTCTACACAGACAGCTGTCAGTCTGTTCGAGCACCTTTACTAAAATGTTTATTGCATATAATATGAAAAAAAAATCTGGGGTTTAACTTGTAAAAATCGGTCTGCCTATGTTTGAATAATCATCTCTCATCATGTGATCGGTCCCGTTAACAGAATATAATTGCTATAATATTAGACACTACATATTAGCTTCTGATTATGATGATGCGGTGCAGCTGCAGAATGAAACTGAGTGTTTGAGAGTCTTTATATGAAAACGTGCCATGAGGTGTATTTTTTACACTTTAAACCACATCTCAACCGAGAAAAGTGTCTCCTTTGGATAAAGTTGTGTGGTAACGTTAGACCACAACATCAACTCAACGTGAATAAGATTAACAATGATGTCTACATCTGTTCTAAGGTAAGTCAACATTGTGTTTGAGGCAACATATTGTCACTTTGCTGGAAAGAAATATAAAGTTATCTTTAACATCTCTAGCTAACGTTAGCTAAAGTTAGCCTAACGTTAGCTCCTAGCTGCGTTGTTCATCATGTCACCTTGTTTGCTGGGAGTTCATTAGCCTATTTTGTTCTAGTTTTGTACTTTGGTGATCGTACATCATTGTTAGCTGTTGTCCAAAGGGCTCTAGTTAAGCTAACGTTAACTTCTGGAGCTTAGCTTCATTAACTTATCTGTAATGGCAGAGATAACAAAGGTTGGCAAACGTTATGCTGAATGATTCAGTGTAAATACTGTAGCACCAAACTAACGGAGAGACACTCTTGGTAAAGATGGTAAAAAGGCCGTTATCCTTTTCTCATATTCTGAGCCAAAAACCTTAACTTCAGTGGCACTTTAACTTGTTGTCTTTGATGGTGACGGCAACCAGATGCGGTTCACAAGCGTACACTGTGACCTGTAAATTTTGGCTTGAGAGAAAGAGAAGGAAGGAAGCTCGTATCGGAGGCACTGTGATTTTTAAACTTTTAACAAATTTCGTCCACATATTACCCATATCCCGTCGGTACACGTTTGAATCATTGCTTTTTGATCCATACCCTGTAACTGGATGAAGGATCTTAGCCATCGGACGAAGATTGTAAGGTATTTTTCGGATCTGTCATGTGCAAGTGCTAACACGGAACCGCGAGCACATAGGCCCGGGCCTTTTAAAACCTGTTTCGTGCAGTTTTATGACTTAGGCTATTTATGAACAGAACTCAGTCTTAATGTCTGTGTGCATAGATTGCACAAGTCAGTACTCACAGCTTTGGGAGGACATCCAGAGGCTGAAATCAGAGCTTCGGAAAAAAAGAACAGGATGATCGAGGGATACATAGCCGTGGCTGCTGCCCAGTCAAAACAGATCTCCTTTCTCCGGTCATCCGGTCTTGCTGTGACGGCGGCCCGTTCACCCACCTCCTCGGTGTCAGTGATGGCCTCGGCTTTTGCAACCACCCTTCCCTGGCTGCCCTCGCTGTATGCTGATGCTGTGTCGAATCGTCCAGAGGGTGCAGCAGCTGAGACTGGTGGGCTCCCCTCCGAAGGACTGCTGGATGTAGGAACACCCGGCATTTTCAACACTGCTGCTGCCGCGGACCAAGACATCACAACGCCGCCGTCAGCTGGGCCGGAGGTCGGCTCAGGAAATGGGCCCATGGTCCTGGTGTACAGCTCCACTCCAAAGCTGTCTGAGCTGCCCTGGACAGCAGTGGCGTCCCGTGGTCGAAAGGGAGATCCGGATGGGAGGCAAGTCCCACCTGTGGCTCTCTCCAACTGCTTCGCCATCCTGATGGAGGAGGCTCTGGTGCATCCTGGTGATGCACCTGCTGTTTCGGCTCTCGCGGCCCGTCACGCTGCCGCTCCATCTCCTCCACCGGCTGCCAGCAACACCGCTCCTCCTGCCGCTGCTCCGTCTCCTCCACCTGTGGCCGGGGGCACCGCTCCTCCTGCTGCTGCTGCGTCTCCCTCACCTGTGGCCGGGGGCACTGCTCCTCCTGCTGCTGCTGCGTCTCCCTCACCTGTGGCCAGGGGCACTGCTCCTCCTGCTGCTGCTGCGTCTCCCTCACCTGTGGCCGGGGGCACCGCTCCTCCTGCTGCTGCTGTGTCTCCCTCACCTGTGGCCGGTGGCACCGCCCCGTCTGCCGCTGTTGCACCTCTCTCACCTGCCTCCTCACCGCCTGTTGCTGTCGTTGCGACACCTGTTGTGGATGCTGACCGCGTGGCTACCCGGTCCGCTGGGACGGCAAAACAAACAGCCGGGGAAGTCCTCCTCCCACCGCCGCAGGCTGCTGATTGAGGCAGTGAACAGACGCTCCAGCAGCTCGACTTGCCTGCGGTCCAGTGGTGTACAGCCCCCGGTGTCAGACCGCTCCACATCATCACAGCACCCGCCTGTCCAGCCTGCTTATCCTCAACAGGTGAATTCGCCCCGCTCTGCGACTGCTGAGAGGGCGCCGTCTCCTTCTCCTTAATTTTTTTGATGATCGAATAATGAATTTTGATCGTTTGCCCATCCCTAATTTATAGCACAGTTTTGTTCGAGGGACACAAAATGGAACGTTTTCCTATAATGACCCTTGAAATACGCTGCACACAGTCTGAACGTGTTTGAACAGAATTTCAGTGGCTGTTTCTAAATGTTCAGCATTTGTTGAAGCAGCTGAGATAAAGTCACCAAACACATTTTGGGTGAAAGATCAAACTGATGTCTAAAATTTTAAACCTACTGTATTGTATCCTCTGTGTCTTTTACAGTGCAGATCATCATCCACATCATCACCGGATCAGATGGTGAGCTCACAGTAATGTCTCTGTCTTTGATATAAATATTAATATTTAAAATCTTTGACTGGATTTTTCTTCTTCAGTTTTTGGCCCCTGTGTTTTGTCCCCTTCAGATTAAAGCTGTACTAATATATTTAAAGTGTGACGTAGGCTGTGACCCAGTGATGAATTCATGATTTACACTGAATGAAACTTTATTAGGGATCTGCCCATTGGTTCGACATCCCATTGTTCCGACCATATTAAACTCATTGTTCCGAAGTCCGTTCCGAAATCATCATGATGCCCTGTGGTTAAGGTCTGGTTAGGTTTAGGCACAAAAACCACTTGGTTAGGGTCAGGAAAAGATCATGGTGTGGGTTAAAATGAAAAAGAAAGTGACAAACACATAAGCCGTGAGCCTGCTCTGCCTCAAGCCGGTTGCGGCTCACCATACGCCTGCCGCGAGCTGTTCAGCACCTCGTACATTTGGACTAATGGGATGTCGAACCAATGGGCTGTCGAACCAATGACATGCACCCACTTTATTGTGTTCATTTATTGACATTTTCCTGCTCTGACTTTTTGTGTGTGCAGTCGGCATATTCATGCATTGATATCTTTATGGAGGGTCCGTCTCTTATTTACCCGTCTCTACGGTGAATTGTTATATCTGAGCTCTGTACCTGAGCACATTCAGGGTTCATCACCTCAGAGTTCAGGTGTTGTTAAAGCTGCTCTCTGAAACAGGCCCCTGGTGTCTGAACAACAGCGTTAACATAACGTTGAAGTTTTATTACTTTCATAATAAACCATCCAAACCTCTGAGCACAAGTTATGTGGAGTTATTTTCATACTGAGCAGGTCTGTTGTTGGTTTTCACCCTTTATTTCTTACATTTGACTAATTTAATCATTTCATCATATTATTTATTTATTTATTTACAGTTTTTTTATATGGAAAACATAACTGTCATTGATGTGCTAAGAAAAACATCAGTGTGTTAGCAGGAATTTACTCCTGTGTGAGTTTGTTTTGAACAGGTTTTTAATTACTTTTAGTATTGAAGTAGTTATTGATTATTATCACTTAATTATGCACTTATAATAAAAACACAAATTGATAATACTTTCTGTTATATATCTAAGAAGACATGTGAACATGCTATTTTCTATAAAGGCGTATTAATTCAATGATATAGTTTTAATTTTCATGGAGTGACTGTCTATTTAACTGTGCTCATTAATAATAATAATGATAATAATAATAACTTTATTTGTATAGCACAGTTCATACAGCAGGTGCAGCTCAAATTGTTTTACATAATAAAATGCGAAAAGACACATAAAAGATGTGAGTGAATCAGATTTGATCACACAGACACATAAAAAATACGCATTAGGTCTGATAATTAATAGATAAAAGCTCTAAAAGGAGGTTTTAAGATTTCGTTTGAAGCCCTCGACTGAATCAGAGAGTCTGACGTCCTCTGGAAAGCTGTTCCAGAGACGAGCGCCTGAGACACTGAATGCAGCATCACTGTTTAGTTCTGCTCTGGGGGACATTTAGTTGGGCAGAGGTGGAGGGTCTGAGGGGTCAGGAGGGGATGTATTTGAGCAAGACATCAGATAAACAGTCAGGAGCCAGACCATAAGAGATTTAAAAACTAAATCTTATAATGAATTCTAAAATGAATGGGAAGCCGATGAAGAAAACTGGAACAACAGCAATAAACCATCTTGTGGAGGAGCTGTGTGAAGCCAGACTCCTCCTGAGCTGTCGAGGTCTTTCATCTATGAATCAAGAATCATTTTAAAGTGTATTTTATATTCGTGCCTGCTTCCCACAGAACAGTTGTCTGTTGCGCTTTAAACCAACTGAACACTTACTGACAGTAGACAAACACGAGGCAATCGGGCACATTATGATATTTGTATAAATACATTTGCAAAACAAACTCTCAGAAACTAACTTTTCAGTGACGGTGAAACCCTCTCAGACTTACACAGCTTTGACAAGAACTTATTTATCTCTTTGGACTGCACACCGTAGATGATGGGGTTGAGGCTGCAGGGGATGATGTGGAACAGGATGGTACAGATTTTTCTGTAGTCTGTGTACTGAGGGAAGCGATGGAGGATGATGAGGATGAACCCGCTGATCAGCATGATCAGATACAGGCACAGATGAGTGCTGCAGGTCTTTAAAGCTTTACTGTTCAGAGACTTGTTCTTACTCATCAGACAGACGATTGTGATCTTAGTGTAGGTGAGAACCATGGTGCCGATGGATGTTGTGATCATGACGACAGTGAAGGTGATGCCGTAGACGTTATTGATGAACACGCTCTCACAGGAGAGTTTGAATAAAGAGGCGTTGTCACAGTAAGGGTTTGTGATCAGAGTCCTGCATCGGTTCAGCCGTACGGTCAGACCCAGCAGAATCCCCACCAAAACCAAAGCCACTCCCCAGGCAGACACTGTCAGCTTCATCACCATCCTGTTGGTCATTATGGCGGCGTAGCGCAGGGGGTTACAGATGGCCACGTATCTGTCAAACGCCATGATCATGAGCACAGTGTGAGCAGTGGTCCCGAACATGTGTGTGGTGAAGGCTTGGACCACACACTCATAATAACTGATGAGGCGCTCTGACGGAGGCTTCAGCATGTCGATCAGCAGACGAGGCACCATGATTGAATTACCGATGACATCGCTCAGCGGCAGGTTGCAGAACAGCAGGTACATGGGCTGGTGGAGGCTCTTATCAATGAAAATCAGAACAGCGATGCCCACATTGCAAACCATTATAACCAGGTAGGAGAACAAGAGCAAGAAAAACACAGCGTACGTTGAATTCTTTGTGACGTTTAACCCCTCCAGCTGCAGGGTGAAGCTGTTGTACGTGACGTTCTCCATCAGCCTGAGAGAACACAACACAGATGCTGATGCCACAGTGAACGTCCAGAACATCTACATATCAGAGATAAAGTTCTACAGACAGTTAATACCTCAGCTTTTCCCAACATCACCACACACACGGTCTACAGTCATGTATCGCACAGCACACAGCTGAAAGCTTAAGAAGTGAATGTTACTGACGTGTCTTTCTTTAATCACACATGATGAGAAACAGAAACATTGTGAAGAAACAGATGCTTGGACATCAGTCATACCTTCCGTCAGTGCTCCCTGCAGGTAATACACAGCAGCGCTCTGTTTAAATGTTTTGTAGATGTGACTTTACCTTGAGGGAATTCAGCTGCCTCGGAAAATGTCTGATGCAACATTAGGAATGATAGACACGGCCATCGCAACTGTCAACAAGCTGAAACTTGTAATTAGGAGGAGTGATGTTTGTGTCACCTGTTCTACACTCTGTTCCACCATCACTTTAACTGTTTGGCCCGCGCAGAGCTAGTTTCGAGCAGCGCAACCCGAGGTGCACTCAGTTTGGTAGTTTGGCAGACCGAGGTGCGCTGAGATGGGTGTGGCGGCGCAGCAGGGGGAGGTGTCAACAGATCCAGCTTGGCGCAGTGACAGTTTTGTGCCAAAAGGCTTCGCTGAAGGTGCGCTAAAAGCTCGCAAGCTGAAACCAGGTCTACTGTCAGCGCAGGCGGAGCGTGGGCAGGTCTCAGGTAGGTCTCCAGAATGTTAGGCACATTAACAATGCAATAAATACCCACAAAAACCACTATTCAATGCAACTATCTGCAATCAGCACATAAATGTATCTCTATATCAACTGTCCCATCACATCTGATGACAGATCAAAGGGGATTGGCACCGTTTGGCACAACTGTACGATAATGCCGCACCGACGGAGGTTTATGGTTGCAGAAGCTGTGGAGACGTTGATGGACTCAGACTCTGTCACTTCCTGTTTTCGATCAATATTCTGAATCTGATTGGACAGGGAAGCAAACGAGTTTGGTGGGACGAAACAGGATCTCCATGACAGTGACAGTGACACACGGACAGGACGACCACAGAGGAGACAGAGACAACAGAACGATCGAGCGATCGCTGAACGTGACCTGTCGGACATAAAGAAATAAACAAAAAATGTAAATGTGAAATTGATTTTATTCTTGAAAATGACACAATTTTCTCAGCTTTTGATCTGAAATGTTTTTTGTGAAAATGCACAAATTCAACTGTTGATAAACTGTTGACTCAAATCAAAGAGACAACAGGAACAATGGAGAGACAAACAGGAAATGGTTTTACATGTTGTGTCCACAGACAGTTGCTCTCTCCTTATCCTTCCTGACTGATTCTTCTCTAGTTTGGTCTTCTGCTAGTGTCCTTTTCACTACTGGTAGCATGTGGCTGTACCTGCAGCCCAATCAGGTTGATACCAGATACCAGGAGACCGGCCGTTACACCAGGAGAGCTGGACAGGGCCGTAGAAGGGCATCAACCCAGCAGCAGGACCGGTATCTGCTCCTTTGTGTGAGGAGGAACAGGAGGAGCACTGCTAGAGCCCTACAACATGACCTCCAGCAGGCTACTGGTGTGCATGTTTCTGACCACGCTGTCAGAAACAGACTCCATGAGGGTGGCATGAGGGCCCCACGTCCTCTAGTGGGACCTGTGCTCACAGTCCAGCACCGTGCAGCTCCATCATTCACCAGAGAACACCAGAACTGAAGGCGCCCCGTTCTCTTCACAGATGAGAGCAGGTTCACACTGAGCACATGTGACAGGCGTGAAAGAGTTTGGAGACGCCGTGGTGAACGTTATGCTGCCTGTGACATCATCCAGCATGACTGGTTAGGAGGTGGGTCAGTGATGGTCTGGGGAGGCAGATCCTTGGAGGGTCACACAGACCTCCATGTCAGAGCCAACAGTACCCTGAGTGACTGTCAGACCTTACGGTGGTGCAGAGGGTTCCTCCTGGTGTGGCGGGGACGTTTTCAGTCAGGGTGGAATATTTTATGTAACCTGATTTCTCTGTGCTTCAGTTTGTGTGTCTGGATTGAAAAAGGTGTGTATCTGATGGTCCCTGTACACCTGTGTTATTACTGGGCTGCAGTGAGCGTCTTGGAGGCCTCAGAGCTCCCAGGTGTGTCAGTGACCAGCAGGTTAATAGAATTAAAAAGCCACATTGAGGCGTTCAGGGCCCAGTGGACAGGGAGATGCTCTCTGTCTCTCCAGAGAGACTCCAGCCTGCAGACTAGTCTTCTCTCTTTACTGATACACTCTCTGCTTCAGCCCGCTCTGTCCATCCTTATCTCTACCAGTGTGTGTTCTGGGAAAGCTTGCCAAAAGATTGCACAACCAGTTCATACCAAAGGTGTTTGAAGGGGCTGAGGTCAGTGTTTGTCAAGTTCTTGCACACACAAGCATTTCTTTATGGACCAGTTCTTAGATTATTGGGCCTTTCCTTCCCCAAACACAGCGTCAAAGCACCTGGACAGAAAGGTCATGCTGTGTTTTACAGATGAAAAGTTTTGGAGTGATTAAAGCCACAGAGATGTGTCTGCTTAGTCACGTTCACGGAGTCTGTTTATTAGATCACACAGTATGTTTTTTATGTGCAGATGGAGAAGATGGCGCTGGGGGAAAGGTCAGAGTTCACCTGAAGTGTTTATGGACCATGAATGTTTGCAGCACTTTTCAGTAGCAGCTGAGTTTTCTGCAGAGTATGTTTCATCATGCGTTGACAGTGAAGTTCGTCCCTGTGGATCCCAGGAGCTTTCATTACCAGCTGTAATCAGTGCGATCCTCTGAGCTCTGATCAACATGTAGTCCTGGGCCTCTCTGAGCTCCCAGAGGGCTAATTACCATCAGAAACTGTTGCAAAGTGTTTTGTAAGGAAGCAGCTCACAGTGGACCTCATTAATGATCTCTGAAACACTAACACATTGCAGGCTGCTGTGGTAACTGGAACTCAGAGTGATGAAACTGGTGGACCATCAGGGGGCAGTGTGGTCCCCTGAGCTCCCAACAACTCTCTGGATTACTGTTGACAACAAAGTCAAATCCAGTCGACAGAATGAACCACAGATACAGTACATCACAGATGGTAAAAATAATGGACAGAGTTGCCGTGACGTCACCCACTGATTTGTGGACTCCTGTTTTGAAGCCTCAAGTTTGGCATTATGGCCGTCGCCTTCTTGTTTTTTTTGGAGCCAGAGGTGACCATATATGGGTGTAAGGGTGGAGCTGTGGAGGAGTAAGGAGTGGATCTGTCTCTTGGACTGTGGCGTCGCCTTACAGACAGATGCTGAACTTTAATCCTTAATAAAATGTAAACAGGGGAGTTGTATAAAAATTCTGCCCCCGTGCAGTTGCAACTTTTTCTCATAGAATGATGAGTATGAGCATGGGCATAACTTTCATTTCAACATTGGGGGGTGGGTGGGGGGGGGGACACATTAAGTGAGGGTCTGTGCCTAAGCATCCAGCATATAATGCTAATAGATAATGTCCGGCTGCCCAGCGGCTAGCAGGTGAGACACAGTGGTTAGCTATTACACTAGCATGCTGGCTGGAAACAAACGATTATTCTGTTCCGCTTTGAGCACATAATACTCACTCTGGCTCCAAATCTCGTGGATGTAAGTTGCTCATAACGTAGGCTCTGGCCTCGGATGTGTTATCAAACAATTTCTGCTCACCTCCTGGAGTAGATATCCGAAGTATAGCCGGGTACGAGATGCCATACTTGACCTCGGGGCAGCAGCGCAGCAGCCCCCTGACCTCATTGAAGGCAGCCCGCTTCGCCCTCACCGAGGATGTGTAGTCGGGGTAAATGTGGATCCGCCTGTTGTTGTGGAAGATGGCTCCCGCTGCCACAGCTGGACGTCCACCTTCTCCTGGTAGTAGTAAAACTTAACCACAATGGGTCTAGGTGGGTTCCCATCTTTCCGCTTGGGCTGCAGACTCCTGTGAGCCCGGTCCAACTTCAGAGAGTAGTTGAGGGCTAGCGCATCTTGTAGCATCTTAGCAACAGCGAGCTCCGGTCGCGTTTCACCAAAGCCTTGATCCACGCTGATGATTCTGCAGTTGTCTCTCCGCTGCCTAGATTCCAAGTCTTCTGTCTTAGCCACCAGCTGGTTTACTTTGGAAGTGAGTGATTTCACTGCATGTCCGAGTAGCCCCGTCCTCCAGGCTAGCGATGTGTGTAGCATGCGCAGCGTTAACTTTTTCAACTTCTTTCGTTGCCTTGGTGTGTTTGGCACGGGTGTTTGCGATCTGCTGGTGTAGCTCTCTCGAAAGATCTGCTTGTTTGATGATTCTTTCTTTGCTAACACCCTTTGCTCCGACATTAGCATGCTTAAGAATGTTAACCACATACAACGCCACCGGCAACTCTGCAATGGAGCAACTGAGATAGGCAACGTGTTGGGTACTGGACTATACCATTATGGTATGGTCCAGTAGGGGTGTTTGAAATAGTTGGGAAATGGTTAAGAAAGATATATAAGTGTTTAGAGCTGCTGGGCTGCGATTTTACCTCTTTACCTCTTACCATCTCTTCTAAATATTGGAGGTGTTGAAACTTTCAACATTTCAGCAGCACTGTGGTTAACATGTGGTTTGGTTTTGGCACAAAAAACACTTGGTTTTGGTGGCACAGTCGCTGCTGAAAAGCAGTGATGTCTCAGTAATAAACAACCTGTTTTCGTGCCACATCTGGAAAAACAGCAGCTGGTTGCTACACAGCAGCTAAGTTCAGGGGCTAAAAAGCTGCAGGAAACACACAGTGACTCATTAAATCACAGCTGGTTTTGTTGTTTGTTGGTCTTGAACAGAGGGCGGTAATGTTCATCAGTCAGCTCACAGACTACGTCACTTAAGAAATGCTGATATGATACATATGAAATATGCAAATGTAACATATTCATGTTTTGCAGAAATGCACAATGCCAACATTTTCTTCTGGTGACTGGGCTGAATATTAAAGAGCG